ATGTCTGTGTTGACAGAATAATGTTTGAAATAAAACTAACCTTGCATCTCATGAATCGTCGCATGTTGAGGGACTATTTTCTCATATATCAGTCCGCCACTGCCGAGCTTTTTATCAGGAAGTACTGCTGCTCAGACATAAATCCTTCAAATGCAACATTGGTTTTACTTCTAAAATTATTCTATCGACACACATCGACACTAAGAAATGAGGCCCTATGTGCAAAACTCCGAACTGTCCCTTTAAATATATCCATGTAGCATTTATTCATTATGGGTGTTTCTGTTGCTCCAAAATTCAGTCATTCCTTCTGTGAATGGGGTAAATAGGGGTGCCTCTCCACAGATCTGACCTGTAATGTAGTGTAGTGCTGTAACCTGCTTGTCTCCCTTGTGATAAATACATTTAATCCGTTCATCTTATTCCTGAAGTTGCAGTGGGCGACGTCATCACTGGGGTTGTGTTATTTTGTACGGGGCGGATCCTCACAGCACATCACTTCACTGTGGAATCCCCAGAGTCAGTGCAGTGACGTGTTGGTCACGTAAACTGTGACCCATATGGAAAAACCTGGAAAAATATAAGAATTTACCACTGTCTTTGTAGTAAATCTTTATATAAGGTTCATATGTGTCATGTGGTTTACTCCTGAAAGTGGCTCCTTTTACATTTTTCTCATACAACTATATTATGAAAAACTAGTAAAGATAAAGTGAACATTTTGCATGACATTTACAGGTAATGTGCATGATAAACTACATTTTCTTTGTATGTTCCATGTAATGTTTGTATTCTTTAATTATATGTTGTAGTTAAAAAAACAAAACAAAATCAGAGTCAGAAGAGGAATTTGAACCCAGGTCCCCCATGTGAAAGTCCAGTGACTCTGCTGTTAAACTACCCAACTGTTACTGGAGGTGACGACTATAGCAGATGTTGAGGACAGTTACAAGTATCCTGGTATCACACAAATAAATGGCTCCTCGAAGAGGCAACAAGGAAAGGAGCTACAGGATTTTGCAGAGTAAAAATCTTTTTACAGCCTGATGTTTGTTCACTGTGACATCAGTGGAAGAGTGTGTGTCTTATGTGTTTTAAGGTCATAATATTTGTAATATTTGCATTACTGTGTTTACCCCCATGCTGCCCAACACACACACACACACACACACGCACACGCACGCGCGCGCGCGCGCAATCACACACTGTGATCATTTTCTTTCTCACTCTCATACACACACAACACATCAATCAAGTTTAAGGAAACAATCATCATTTCACTTGTTTTTCTGTGATTCTGTGGTAAAAATGACCTTTGTCCAACACTTGTGAGGAGATTGTGTGTGGGATTAGTGTCATATTCAGCTCTTGCAGTTTACAAAGTTTTACATGTTTCATGCTGCACATATTTACCAAAGATCTTGTAAGTGTTTTCACTGTCATATACAAATCTTTTAAGATTCAGATAAAACATGTTCAAATGGTGTATGATTTGTCTATATCTTTTCCATATGGGGAGTCAGTGCAGTGACATGTTGGTCACATAAACACTGAATATTTGAGACAAATGTTTTCAAATTCTCGTTGACATGAATATTACTCTTGTTTAACCAGAAGTGCCACCACGAGAAAGTGCTGTTCAGGAGCGTTTAGAGACAAGTGGGCGGGGTTGAATAAGATAAATACTGGACACTCCACTAGGAAAGTTACGCAGTGCACCTTTAAAGTCTAGTGCGACAGGTTATTCAAAACAGGAAATTCTCAGGAAACTCTGATGGCTTTAAAGCTGTGCTGCTGAAGAGCCCTGTCTGTGATTTTTACTGCTCTGGGAACTTCCTCCACATCCAGTTTAAGCACTTCAGGTCATTCCAAAGAGAAAAGTACAAGGAAGTTGTGGGTCCAGTTCCTGCTCTCCTAGATTAATAAAAAAATACATGTGACCCAGAGTGACTTGCATGAATTCTGAAATCAAACTGATTATTGGGTAAAGGTTCATATTGCTGTTTTATAATCTGTGTGATAATGCAAGTCACCTCAAGGATTCTATGGAGATAATTAAATTTGACGTCATACTGTGGAATATTAGAGCCAAAGGAAGAATATTTCGCAGCAAGATTCCCTCCTTCAGGCCAAATAAGAGTCTGGTTTGTGGACATGCGAGCCTGCTTACAGAAAAGATGCATGTTTTTCAAAGTTTTTCAGTGCAATAAACACAATACTCAAGCACTGAACTAAACAAAATACAACTCTGGGTATGTTTTTGATGACGTAACAACATTCTAACATGGCTTAAAGTTGCATTAGGTCACTTTTTGGTATGCCATAATGTTCCACAGTGTGTCATTAAACAGCTCTACGTTACATTTGTTCAGTTACACGTGGTTTTGTAGCTCAAAGATATCTAGAAAAACTGGAATTTGCCGGGGGTTGCCGAAACAAACAAAGCAATAACACCTCCAGGGAGAAAAGCTTTTGACGGAGCCTCCACCAGAAAAGTTACACAATGCACCTTTAAAATTCATAAGAGTCAGTTTTGCGTAATCCCCAGGACTGTTAAATGCATTTCTCAAACAAGCTTAACTCTTTAAATCAGACTTAAAGTGAGCTCTTTTCGACGTGTGCCAGAGTAAACAGGATCTTGTCGTCCACATTGTTCTGGCATGGCGGGCTTTTCTTGTCCTTTATTTGGATAAATTTGTAATAAGGTCAAAGGTCATGGCTCCTCTCCATTTCTGTTACAGTCGAAACAGAAAGCAGCAGAACAATGAGTGTGCGTACGGCTGTCAGTCATGTGCAGGGGGCGGGGCTCAGGTTACTAGATAAAGTTTACAAAGTAAAAGTACACGCCATTCATCTGGTTTCACAGAAAGATTCCAGTTCTTGTGAAAAACTAAAGCTGCACTGTGCAACCTTTCTGGTAGAGGTGTTAAGACTTTAAGACCTGGTTTAGTTCTGATTTAGACCTGATTTAACCCAGGTTTAGACCTTGTTTAGTCCTCGCTTAGTTCTGATTTAGCCCTAGTTTAGTGGTTTAGTTTTGGTTTAGTTCCGGTTTAGGTCTAATCATAGATTATATGGTCCTGATTTATTCCTGGTTCAGTCCTGGTCTAGTCCTGGTTTAGACTGGGTTTAGTCCAGGTTTAGTCCTGGTTTAGACTGGGTTTAGTCCTGGTTTAGACCTCTTTTAATCCTGGTTCAGTCCTGGTCTAGTCCTGGTCTAGTCCTGGTCTAGTCCTGGTTTAGTCCTGGTTTAGACTGGGTTTAGTCTTGGTTTAGTCCTGATTTAGACTGGGTTAAGTCCTGGTTCAGTCCTGGTTCAGTCCTGGTTTAGTCCTGGTTTAGTCCTGGTTTAGACCTGGTTTAGACCTGGTTTAGTCCTCGCTTAGTTCTGATTTAGCCCTAGTTTAGTGGTTTAGTTTTGGTTTAGTTCCGGTTTAGGTCTAATCATAGATTATATGGTCCTGATTTATTCCTGGTTCAGTCCTAGTCTAGTCCTGGTTCAGTCCTGGTCTAGTCCTGGTTTAGACTGGGTCTAGTCCTGGTCTAGTCCTGGTTTAGACTGGGTTTAGTCCTGGTTTAGTCCTGGTTTAGACCTGGTTTAGTCCTTATTTAGTCCCCTGGAGGCTGATGTGATGCTGCAGGACACAGAGGAGAAACACTTTTGGTTCTTCTCCTCCTCTGCCCTGACACAGATCTGACCCTCCCTGACCAGTCCTCCTGTGAAACTGAACTTTGACTGAGACACAAAGGCCACGGAACTGCAACAGTGCACTGCAGCAAAACTTGATTTGAGCAGACATGGACAGAATCTCACTCTTCCAGTAATAAAGCGAAACTTTGAACTTTAATCCAGCAACAACGTTTGTCGCCAATCCATGTATCATTCCTTTATTCATTTTCAAAATTAAACCAAAAATTAGAAAATTTTAGTTTTTTCATTTTCTTAAACTAAAATTTCTCCAAAACCAAAATGAAAAAACAGATAATGATTAATTTTTTAAGTTTTTGATTTTGCATTTAAATGAATAATGGAAAAAACGGATAATGGCCTTTTTACATTTACGTGACTTAAACTCCAATGTTGGACTTTTGCACCACATATGGACTGAACCAGGACTAAAAGAGAACTGAACCAGGACTAAAAGAGAACTGAACCAGGACTAAAAGAGAACTGAACCAGGACTGGACTAAAAGAGAACTGAACCAGGACTAAAAGAGAACTGAACCAGGACTAAAAGAGGACTGAACCAGGACTAAAAGAGAACTGAACCAGGACTAAAAGAGAACTGAACCAGGACTAAAAGAGAACTGAACCAGGACTAAAAGAGGACTGAACCAGGACTAAAAGAGGACTTGAACCAGGACTAAAAGAGGACTGAACCAGGACTAAAAGAGAACTGAACCAGGACTAAAAGAGGACTGAACCAGGACTAAACCAGGCTCAGTCCTGGTCTCAGTCCTGGCCTCAGTTCTGGTCTGGTACACCGGTCTGGTCCCCGGTCTGGTCCCGGTCTCAGCCCCGGTCTGGTCCCGGTCTGGTCCCGGTCTCAGTCATGATTCCGATGCTGGTCTGGTCCCGGTTTCAGTCCTGATCACTCGACAGTCTACGCAGGCGCACCTTTGTGCCCATTGCACCACTCAGTCCTGTTTAAGTCCTGTTTAAGTCCTGTTTAAGTCCTGTTTAAGTCCTGTTTAAGTCCTGTTTAAGTCCTGTTTAAGTCCTGTTTAAGTCCTGGTTCAGTCCGTATGCGGCGTAAAAGTCCAGCATCGCAGTTTAAGTCACAGAAACGTGAAACGAAAGAACGGATAATGATTTGTTTCCCATCTTGGATTTGGAGACAAATAATGAAGAAAATAGTTGTTTTTTCGTTTTATTTTGAAAAACAAATGAGCGAATGATACACAGTTTATTTTCTTCTGTCCCAGTCATGTTTACTCATCTCAGTCCATAACATGTTTCTCTTTTTTACAGCGCCACAGTCGATTTGAGTTGTTCCTGTTCTGCTTTGTGTTTTGTTTCTCATGTTCACGCCTTCGCTGTTTCCTTCTCACATTCTGTCCTATGTTCCTTTTTTCGTGGACTGAACACCCGTTTCCCCGAAGCATGTTTTATTCCAGGACGTGCAGGGTATTTCGAATATGACATGAAATTTATGCTCCGGTTCGATTTTATAATTAACGAGTAATTGCCTGAGTTCGTCACAGCAACATCACGTGACCACTGTGAGGAGCAGAACGAACGGTCAGGTATGAAAACAAACTCTTGGTCTGAAAAAGAACCTAAAAACATAAAATATCAGAAGATCAAATTAACCTTATAAAATGCTTTGTTACACCTTGTGATGTCATGAAGCGAGTTTAAATGTTTAACTTAACAGCTACTTTCGACGTTTAGTTCAGTAGAGATTGTTGAATTCTAGGGCTGAAATGATCCCAATGATTCTACTGAACGTGTATGGAGTTTAAAAACACAGTGGAGCTCTTCCTGTATCACCACATGACATCACAAGGTGGAACAATCTGAGACAAGAACTCAGCAGAGTTTGTGTGTTTAACATGTGAATGAAACAAAACACAACTCCAGGTCTGTTTGTGACAAAGAAACAGAACAGAGATCTGAAAATAGTGTGTTTGTGTGCTTTTGTACGTTCGTGTGTGTGTGTGTGTGTGCGCATTTGAGTACAGACACCACACACTTTTGCGTCTGTCCCCACCTGCTCGTCCAGTCACTTTTATAGTTTGATTTTAACTACATTGTGAAGACGTTTCTTTTGTGACCGTCAGACTGAATCGTGTAAAAGTTTACATTGACCAAACAGTCAATACGTGAAAGTGAAAGTGAAAGTAAAATGAGTGGACTAATGATTAATTATGTAAACTGAACGAACCCACTGACCTCTTGGTATCTGATTCACAAGGGAAATGCCACACATTAGTTCACGTGACAACTGTGGTGGACATAAAATTTAAATACCAGAGCAGATACTGAAGCAAAAAAAAATTAAGTAAAAGTATTACATGAAAAAATGTAGTTACATAAAAAAGTATTAAAATTTACTTGAAGAGTAAAAAGTCAAAGTATTTCGTGTAGATTTTGAGGTTTAATGTCAATGTGGTGATTTGTTGTGTAGTTGTGTGGTTGTTTAGTTGGGCCCCGCCCTCACTCACCTGCTCTTTCGTTTCAGCTGAACATTGTGTGGATTTCACAGAAACAAAGACTTCAAAGTCATATCAACAGTCCAGTTTATTTGAAATGAAACACACATAACAGTTTAACACTGACTGAAACTACACTTCACTCACAGAATCACATGTCAGTACAGTTGGACCCGGGACTAAAGTCTGAACTGCATCAGGACTAAACCAGGACTATATCAGGATCACAACACGTTATCGGGATTCAAACCAGGACTAAACCAAGTCTAAATCCATGGCAGACCTGTTCGTCCAGTAGAAATATGGTAGATGGTTTAAACCTGGTTTAATTTGTTGCTGGTTTAGACTCAGAGTTAGTCAAACCACAGAGCAAAATTATTGGTTTATAACTGAGTTCTGCTTTAGTCCTTTTCTAGTCCTGGTTTAGTTCTGGTTTAGACCTGGTCAAAGCCTGATCCCGTCAGATCTCAGAGGCTAAGCAAGGCCGGGCCTGGTTGGTACTTGGATGGGAGACCACTGGGAAAATCAGGAGCCACAGGAGGGCACCAGTCGTAAAAACTGTCATTGTGTCCTTAGGCAAGACCCTCATTGTCTAGTATGAAAGTGGTGTGTGTGTGAGTGATGGTAGTGGTCAGAGGGGCCAATGGCACAGATTGGTAGCCTCTTCCATCATTCTGCCCCAGGGCAGCTGTGGCTACAATAATAGTAGCTTACCACCACTGGATATGGAGTGATATATATTTTAGTATTTGAGTATCCATAAAAGTGCTATATAAAACTGATGCATTATTATTACCTCCGCCAAGGAGGTTATGTTTGTTTGTTTGTTTGTCTGTTTGTTTGTTTGTCTGTTAGCAACATAACTCAAAAAGTTATGGACCGATTTTGATCACATTTTCAGGATTTGTTGGAAATGTGAAAAGGAAGATTTCATTTTGGTGGTGATCCAGAAGAAATCCTGGATTCTGGATCACTTTGAAATTTTAGTTAACATTGTGGTAAATGGGGCCAAAAAATTTGTTTCTCAATATCTCTGTTAATTATTGACCAAACCCCATGAAATTTGACTCAGGGATGGACAATGGGATCCTCTTTCATATTCCAAAGGCTGATCCGGATCTGATCCAGAAGACTGATTTTATCGCAATTTATATAAAAAATGTTGGTAGTCCTTGGCGGAGGTCTGCGCTCTCTGACTGCTTTTCTTGTTATTATTGTTATTATTGTTATTATTAGATTTGGTTTAGACCTGATTTAGTCCTAGTTTAGACCTAGTTTAGGTTTAGATCCGGTTTAGACCTATTTTAGCACTGGTTTAGTCCTGGTTTAGACATAGTTTATTCCTGGTTTAATCTTGGTTTAGTCTTGGTTTAGTCTTGGTTTAGACCTGGTTTAGACCTGGTTTAGACTCTTGTTTATTTACATACAGACTCGATGATGCACTGATTGCATAAAAGAAACATCTCAATTGGAATTTGCAGCACATGACACACGGGAACTCCTCAGATTTTTGCATAAACAACTTCGGTAAATTTCCTGAAAAAATTCCAGCCAATATAAAAATTCCCTTCAACTCCGTCAAGTTTACTGTGAAATATTAATTAGCATTCTCTAAAATTGCAGCCTTATGATTCTCTAGAATCATAAGGCTGCAATTTCCAGTGATGAATTTAAAAACTGTACTATCACTATCACTGTCACTATCGACGCAATACCTCCTCCTAGTGTTTAAATGTGGTACTGCAGGAAGAAGAAAAGCTCCACCAGGTTAAACCAGTTTAAATGTGCCATATTAAAAGTTTAACCTGTAATTAAAACCAAAACTTGAAGACATTTTCTTAAGATTAGAATTACTGGTTAAGGTGGTGTATTTTAAGTAGTGTGACGTAATATAATGAATGAGTGTTTACACGCACATGAGTGTTCGGGACATGCTGTTCACTTGTGCCGAGAAACTGGGACACTCATCCCTGTGACATGATCAAATGTACTATTCTGGTTTCTTGACATAACAAATTACAAATGCATTACATTACAAATGCGAGCACAAAAATTTTATTTTTCCTGGTTTATTAAATATATAAACAACCATGAGATTATAATGAAGCTTTGTGCACATTTGTTTACATTATACAGAAACAAACTTAAAACCACATGGCTCATTTACATAAAATATAAGCCTAAAAAAAAGCAGCCCTTTAATTGTGCTCTGTTGTGGTTCAGCTTCTGTCGGACTAAAGGACACGACTCAGTGGAATATGAGTGTTAATGTGCTGCTGATGATGAGTCTGTTCTGTGTGTATATCATGTTGGAGATGGCTCATGTTTAACTTTTCAGAGATCATACATGTGCAGGTCGTATGCCTGCGGGTCGTACGTGTACGGGTCATACGCGTGCAGATCATATGTGTGCAGGTCATACTTGTGCAGGTCGTATGTAGGTCGTATGCGTGCAGGTCATATGTAGGTCATATGCATGCGGGTCGTACGTGTGCGGGTCGTACGTGTGCTGGTCATGTGCAGCAGCTTTTTATTTAACACTATTTTCCCTCATGTCACTTTATTTACATTGCTTCTTTTGTGATGAAAACACTGAAAGGTGTAAATACTTCTCATAAAACTCATGCTGTAGTGGAGATGGTGCACTTGTTGTCCGTTTTCCGTTAGTCAGAAGAATCTGGATCTACCTAAAACAGCGATCATAGTCCAAATCTCAATCCTACTGAACATGTGTGAAAGGATCTGAAACATGCGTCTGGAGAAGACAAACTTCAAACCTGAGCCAACTAGAACAGTTTGCTCATGAGAAGTGGGTCAAATACCTGTTGACAGTGCAGAAGTGTCATTGTCAGTTGATTGCAGAGTTTGCCTCAGAAGGTTGTGCAACAAAATATTAAGTTAAGGGTATCATCATTTTTGTCCAGGCCAGTTTCATTATTTTGTTTTTTTTAATAATTCTGTTTAACCACATGTGAAAAACAATGTTTGATTTTCATTGGGCAATTTTCAGTAATTTTTTATTTATTATTGCTTTTATCAGTTTCAAGTTATTTCAGTGATTGTTATTGTTTCTTTCATTGCCAGAGGGGTACCAACTATTTTGTCCACAACTGTATTTTTGCCCATTTTCGGATGCAGCCTGAGCTTCTCTTTGAACTTGCCCATGTTTGTTTGTCTTTTGGAAGCATGCAGACTTTATGTTCGGGATACTGCGTGTATATGCCGCATTATCCTAACCTGATTCATGAGCCGATTTCACTTCGTGGAAACCGTTTGACCACGCAGCATTAGGATTCATTTGCTCGACAGTAGGCAGGTACTTTTATTTTAAAATTTAACCAATCACTGCTATTTGGTCATGACGTATGTAATGCGCCGCTAACGGGGATAACTGTTATATTAACCTTTTCCTAAATCCCATAAGAAGAAGGGCAATAACGTCTTTCCTTTTCCTTGATAAAATTCACCAAACATTCTCTTTGTTCCGGCTTTCAATCCTTAATCTCGGGAATTGTTGCCAGCACAGAATATATGGCTCTTCGCTGATTGGCTGGTGCCTGAACTCGCACTTCTGGGGTTTTTGCGAACCGTCAAGTGTATTTTGATTCCTGACCTAGTCCCTGGAGAGAAATGAAATTGAGTGGAGGCACTAGGTGGCGCCAACCTGGCTAACATTATCCTGGTTACTATCGGAATATCCCAGCTACAATATCCTGGTTTTTGGCTTATTTGGGATACTGAAACCTGGGTAATGCATATACATGGACCATAACGGAACCAGGATATTGAAAAAACCCGATCATAACTGAGACACTGATGAGCACACTCATCATATTCATCTTAA